AAAAACAAAGTAGCAAACTATGCACATGCACACATGCATGCATGAATCCATACACACAGACCTACAGACAAACGTGCACACATATATATCTATACGACCACCCTGCGGGTGATAAGGAGGTTGGGGGGGGCAACAATGGGCAAAAATGGTGATTGTTGTTCTGACGATACCTGTGGGGCGGAACCGCGATTGGTATGTATGCCGGTTTGCTTGGGCAACTGGCTGCGGTCCGACAGCGACAACGGCGGCACAGCATACAGCACGGCATGACGATGTGCCTTTCGATTTGCATTTGGATTTGCATATCGATGTGCATTTCAATTTGCTGTTCGATTTGCATGTCGACGTGCATTCGAAAGCTCGCCGTGGCGCCCACGGCGCCTTACGATTTGCATTTGGATGTGCAAATCGATTTGCATTTCGATGTGTTTTTTGGTCTGCATGTCGGTTTGCATGCAGACTTGCATTGGATAGCTCGCCGCAAGCGGCGATGTTTTGAAATGCACAACCCACGGCGGGACACCAGCGGGACACCATGGGACACCAGCGGGACACCGTTTGACGGGAGGAGCATCATTTGGTCCGGCCGCGGCCCAGCCACAGGAGGATTTCGTGACACCAGCGAGACACCGGCGGGACACCGGCGGGACACCGCGCGCCACCGGCCGCCGGAGGAGAATCATGTGGTCCGGGCCGCGGCCCAGCCACAGGAGTATTTCGGGACACCAGCGGGACACCGGCGGGACACCGCGCGCCACCGGCCCGGAGGAGAAACAATTGGTCCGGCCGGGCCCAGCCACAGGAGGATTTCGGGACACCAGCGGGACACCGGCGGGACACCGCGGGCCACCGGCCGCCGGCGGAGAAACATTTGGTCCAGCCGCGGCCCAGCCACAGGAAGATTTCCTCTCGCCCGCCCACGCAGCTTCGCCTCGCCCGCACGCACGCACGGCACGCACGACACGAAGCCGAAACTGAAACTGAAATCGATCTCCCGGTAGGGGGGGTCTCCATTTCACGTCGGACTCACCCCCCAACCTCCGACCTACACATATGCACACACATACGTACATACATACATACATACATACATACATACATACATACATACATGCATTACATACATACATGCAGACAGGCAGACAGACAGACAGACAGACAAGCAGACAGACAGACATACATGCGTAAGTATATGCATACATCCATACATCCGTACGCACGTACGCACGAACGAACGTACAGACATACATACATACATACCTATACGACCACCCTTCGGGTGACAACGAGGTTCGGGGGGGGGAGGAACCAACGTCTCACTCGATCGGTCTCACTATCGATCTCACTATCCATCTCACAATCGGTCTCGCTCGATCGATCTCACTCGATCGATCTCACAATCGATCTCACTCGATCTGTTTCATTCGATCGATCTCACAATCGATCTGACTATCGATCTCAGAATCAATCTCACTATCGATCCCACTATCGATCTCACAATCAATCTCACATTCGGTCTAACTATCGAACTCAATATCGAGATCACAATCGATACCACAATCAACGTCATCACCATCATCATCAACATCATCGTCATCAACGTCATTATTATAATCATCAGCATCATCGGGACACCATCATCATCATCACCTCATCACCATCATCATCAACATCATCATCACGTCATCATCATCATCATCATCATCATCATCATCATCGTCATCATCATCATCATCATCGGGACACCATCATCGTAACCATCATCATCATCATCAACATCATCATCATCGGGACACCATCACCATCATCATCGGAACACCATCATCGTCATCATCAGCATCGTCATCATCATCATCATCTCATCGTCACGATCATGAACAACATCATCAACATTATCATCATCGGGACACCATCATCATCCTTAGCAACATCATCATCATCATCATCATCATCATCATCATCGGAACACCATCATCATCGTCACCATCATCAACATCACCCTCATCCTCATCATCAACATTATCGGAACACCATCATCATCAACATCAGCATCATCATCACAATCATTGGGCCACCATCATCAAAGTCGTCATCATCACCTCATCATCATCCTCATCATAAACATCATCATCGGAACACCATCATCGTCATCATCAGCATCAGTATCATCATCGGGACACCATCATCATCACAATCATCAACAGCATCATCATCAACCTCATCATCATCGGGACACCATCATCATCAACATCATCGTCATCAAATCATATGATCATCATCAACATCATCAGGATCATCAACATCATCATCATCATCATCATCATCATCATCATCGGGGCTCCATCATCATCATCAGCAACATCATCATCAACATTATCATCGGGGCACCATCATCATCACCACCATCACCATCATCATCATCATCATCAACATCGTCAACATCATCATCATCATCATCATCATCATCATCATCATCATCATCATCATCATCATCATCATC